TGTGCCCTCAGGAAACTTATGTTGCAGAACCTAGAATAAAATGGAGGAAGTGAGATTCCTTTTCATGAAAAAGTTGAATGTGCACAACCAAAAAAGATACTAGAAAGAATGCCAGAGTACTCTAATTTGAATAGCGGTGGCTAGTATTTGTTGAGTCCTTGCTGCATCCTGGGTTTCTTTATTTAAGCTTCAAAAACAACTACATTCCCTACTTTATAGACAGAAATTTTGGCTCAGAAGGAAGAAGAAAGTACTAAATGGTAGGCAGGAGATTTGAACCCGGGCAGTCCAATTCAAGGATTTGCAGTTTTAATTACTCCCCTACATTACATGATACAAGTTAAACCACATAATATTGATGCTAAAGGTCCATCTGGAAGACAGAAGGCATTAGGTTGTTACAGTCTTTCCCATTTCTGCCAGAGATACTCCTGACCAGGCTGGGAGAGGAATTTATGAGCACTGAGGGCACAGGAGGAGAGGAGCAGGTTGTGGTGTGGTAGGAGGGAAGGAGTGAGACCCAAGCAAGGCTAGGCTTCTTCTCCAAGACACGGAGAGCAGAAGAGATCTGAGATGGGGAAAAATGACCCTAAAGAGAGTGGAACAGCAGAAATCTCCTGTTCAAGTTGAATCCTTACAGAAGGGTACATTTTGAGCAGCTGGTGATAAGTTGGAATCAGAACAAGAATTTCCCTAACTAGTCCTGTCATTCTGGTCACCCACATGAGTTCTGTGTAGCCACACTCAGGATCAATGACCAAGAGTAATTTAGAGCATGATTTTGGTAGCCCCCCCCGCCCCGGGCTATGTCAACCCTTGCCTTAGAGTCAGAGAGGTGAGTTTCCATCTCTCAGCATAGAGCATGGAGCTGTCACCCTCTCGGAAGTCTCCAGCTCTATGTCCCAATGCGGTGATGACTGTTGAGAGTTCCCAGAACCAACTAGAGGTTACATCTGAAATTCCCTGGGGTCTGTACCAGGGTTCTATGAAGGCATTTGCCCAGGGGGGTTGAGTATCAAATATATCACCTTTTGGTTCCATTGAGCTCTCCATATTCTACCTCCTTTTACCCATCTCCTCTGTTGGTTACCACTCTGCCCAGTTTATACATTTCATTAACATATTACTTCCATCCTCTTTTCTGTCATTAATAAAGATGTTAAATAATTCTGAACTGAATACTCACCCCTGTAGGGCCCTACAGGACACTTTCTTTTAATTAGTTGTGCTACCTTTCATCTCTCTTATGTCCTTTGGTTTCAGATTTCCAGCTGGTTTTGAATCCAAGTGACTTTTTATCCAGTCCTGTTTGAACTAATTTCATGAGTGAAAATCTGAGAGACATTTTACCAAGTGTTGATACAGGGCCAGGCCTACAGAGAGCTTTACGGTATTCAGATTTTTTTGTAAAGCAGATTAATAGAGTAAAATTTGGTCTTAATAAACCAAGCCTTCCTAACGCACCTCTTTCTAGTATTCTTTTCAATCCTAGAGGCATTTTCTCCATTAATGTCATGGTAACTTGAATTGTGTTGACGTCAGACTTCACAAAAGGTATTCTTGCTGCCAGGAGTAATTCTCTCAGACCTTTTCAAAGATAACTGTTTCTTAGAGGTTGTGCTATTTTCAAGATCTTACAATGACTTAGTTTTTTTAAAAAATAAAAATAAGTGGATATTTTATAAATCATCTAATTAACCAGTTTCCGATGTGCCTTCTTTTATAAAACAGGGAATAATTTCAACTCACAAGATACCATAACTCATAGTATTTCAGTAAGTAATTTAAAATTGTGTCTCTACCTAAAAGTAACTCTTGTTTTTAAAATGGAACTTCTGACAGGAAACAAGCTTTTCTGAGGTTAACTGCTGGAAAACATAGGGCTGTGATGGTTATAGTCAATGATGTTTTGATTTGATGTATGGAAATTCTTGGACCTAGGGCAAGGGAGGAGGGCTCTCACTGTGAAGCTCTAAGAAATTCTCTTTGGATCCAGTGCACTTATGGGTGACCCATCTATGAGTAAACATAGAGCTGACCACTTCGTGTCAGGTTGTAAATTCACTGTTTGATTAAAATACAGAAACAGAAGCCAGATTTGACTCATGCCTGTAATCCCAGCACTCCAGAAGTCTAAACTGGAGGATTGCAAATTTGAAGCCAGCCTGATCTACATAAAGAGACCTGGTCTAAATAAATAAATAAAACTAAACTATTGAGCTTAGTGGAACATTTACAGGGTGGTCATTCTTTGCCTTTTTGTGTTTACAGGATTTTTTTAAATCTTCATCAGAAAATATAGAAAATTTCTTATTTCTAGGAATTGTAGCCATAAAGTACAGCCATATAGCTGTACAATCTTTTTTTTTTTTTACATCTTCTTGTATACCTGCACTGTTTAGTTAGGTTAGGGAACCCTCCTGATAACAGCTCTTGGAGCCCACTCATTCAGATTACGAGTTCTCACAGCAAACAAAGGACAGCTAATCTGACTGCCTTTGAAGGCAGACTGCAGCATCTGCTTTAACAAGATAGGCCAGGGCTAGATTCTGTCCTAGACAGCCAAGGGAAACTTCTCTAAACAATAAGGTTTTAAAAAGAAATCCTTTTGAAGTAGCAAGTCTGTCTCCACTCAAGAGGAAAAAAAAGGTAATAAGACAACGTGGCAAGTCTTCTGATGGTGTTTGTAGAGCCATTAAAAGGGCAAAATAGAACTCCCTTAAAATCTTTTTTTCATTAGTTATAAGGGTCTCTTTATCCTCTGCAGAGAGCATGGAAGTAGTATGTACCTGATGTGTTTACAATTTTTGCTTCCATAGAATCCACAGTAGAAATATGAGAAGCATAGAAAACCATCTAGAAAGAAAAGAAACCTGAGAATCATAGTTGACTTAGATACAAATGCAATCTGAAATAAAGTTGACATTAAAAAATTCCTATCTTGTCCCTCTAAGAAGACAGTGAACTTCTCTAGAGCAAAGGTTATAATTTTTTTCTACAAAGAATCAGGGAGTAAATACTTCAGGCTTTGCAGGCTGTAGAGTCTCTGTTGAAGCTACTTGCCTCTAGCACTGGCGTGAAAGACCACAGACAAACAAGTAGTATGGACACTGACATTTGAACTTGCATGTGTTTTCATCTACCGTGAAGTATTATTCTCTTTTTGACATTGTTTCACAGGCCATACAAAAACAGGTAGTAGACAGGAATTGCCACACAGGCTGTCATTGTGTATGTACACATGTATATCCTGTGTCCCTGACAACATCTAGTGCTGTCCTGAGAACCCAGTAGGTGCTCAATAAATACTTGTTCACTTTGCTGTCACCATGCAAGAGTACAGAGTAAGCCTTTTGCTATACTACACACCAGACATTTGCAAGGGATTTATCTCGAAGTGGTTACTAATCCCTCCATTCCAAGTACCACTCTAGGTGATAATTTCCCCCATAAAATGCAATCAAGTATAACAGAATAATTAAAGTGACCCTTTCAGGCCCTTAATGAGTCAATAAATCAGGGCTAAAGTCCTTTACAAAGTGATTAAAATAAATTCTGCCACCAAAATCAATTCTCTGTCACATTACATCATTGCTGTGATGACATTAATGATAAATTTACTGCAATCTACAAAGCCAATCCATAGTGATAATGAGTGATGGTGATCGAGATACCATACAGCACCTGTGTTTGCCAAAGAGTGAAACGAGAATGTTCGTTTCAGCAGGATGGGCAGCCCCAGCAGTCCATGAGGCCATCCTGATGAGTGTTAGACACACAAAGCAGCAGGGCACGCTCAGTTGCCTCAAGAAGTCAGTGTTAGGCAGGTGTCAGACATGTGCTGGACATTATGAAAGCTCTCCTGGTGGCTTAGTATCTTCTGACTGACTTTATATCCTCCAAGTGAATGCTCTCAGCATTTATGGCTTAGCCACAGATCACGTGATTATGCATCTTTGGACCTTGGGGTCATTTTCAAATACCAAAAGTGTATACGTGAAGTTCACTCATGGGAAGATCTACTGTATTTCATATTGGCTAGAATCTTAGCATCTTCTGTTCTGTTTTGGTCACTACACTGTAGAAGAATATAGACTTTCTGGAAATGGCCTGCAAAAGAACAGCAAACCATTCAAAATGGAAGATGGTAGCACCTATAGGAGAGAAGTGAAAGCTTCACAACTGAATTGTCTTGGAAAGGGAAAAGGATTTTTGCCACCAAATAAAGGGCTTTGTTTTTGTTTTATATTTTAGGGGAATTTGATGAGACATTTCAAAAGGAGAAGTAAGGTGCCTGTGCCTACAGACAGGAATTTAGGTATCAGGTGACTGCAAGGCACACATCCTTGATTATAGTCTGACAAAGCCCATGACTGAATAGCCAGGTGATCATGATATCTGTAAATCACAGAGAAGACATGGTTACCCACAACCATGGTTGAGGCATTAACTACTTGATATTGGGTGACAGAACTGGTGGATTGCTTGAGTCTTTTCCTTCTAATATATTCCTTTATTCAAGTAGCTTAACTAAGACAAACAAAAAATACAAACTACTTTCTAGGGAATCAGATTAATCTGGAATGACATTTATGTCAACTTAATGATGAGTCTGTTGTTGGCTACAGTCAATGGACTCCTTTTTTTCTTCGTTTTGCTTACATTGTGAACCTCGGGAAGCTGTAAGGCAGCAAGCATTTCCTAAACTCGAGTGATACCTCACTCCTCAGACGGAATGTCAGACTCTTCAACTGCATTTTCAACTGTCTTGTGAGACAAAGACTAATTGGTTTGACCTCATGCTGTCACATGTGGAGGGGCACGAATCTTCAGCCCTCTTCCTTGAATTCATTGATTTCATTAAACACTGTCTGCTTGTGTTTGCAAAATGTTGTAATTTCCCAGTGATTTCTTCAAACCACAGTGCATCAACAGATTTTTTTTGGAACAATGCCATTTCTGAGCTTTGATCTCGTGTTTTAATCTTTTACTTCCAATAGATCTTCCACATTAAGGCCATTGAACCACAGAAAATATCGACCTTAGGGAAAAGGAATGTGATAGTTACGGGAGCAAACTTCACCCAGGCATCAAACATCACAATGATCCTGAAAGGAACCAGTACTTGTGATAAGGATGTGTGAGTTGAAATAATAATAATTACTGCTAATAATTGATCCTTCGTAATGGAAGCTAAAACCTATGCCAGAAGAATATCAGTGTGATTAGAACATTTCTATAGTCAAATAGTGGTCACACACTGCACAGTGGACCCTAGTCTGAGTATTTGATATAATATAATTCCAGTAGGTAAAATAATTTTAGCAGTGAATTTGAAGTTCATTGTGGAAGATTGTGTCCCATGTTACTCTGTTCCCCCCCTCAAAAAAAATATCTTAGTATACAATCATTTCAGGGTGTTGCCTATTTGGGGTCTTGATTCATATTCAAAACCTAATCAAGCATAGAGAGTAGCAAACATTATTATGATGATCCACTTAGAAAAATAGTTGCATACCTTGGAATTTTATGGAGAATTTTGTGTAGTAACTCTTCCAATATGCTACACAAAGTTGGAAAACAAAGATTTTGGACCCATTGCATATGGAAATTTCATACCTTGTAGCCTTCTTCCCTTTACTGATTTGGTTTTCATCTTAAATAATTAAATTACTAGTACATACATTCATAGTAAAAAAAAAAAAAAAGAACAGAATACCCCAGATATAAATATCTGTCATCATACTTCTAGAACGTCATGATTTATTTGACTTCTTTCCCCCTAACTCATACTAGCAATAAAACTTTGAGGAAAAAAATCCAGTTTCTCACTCATGTCCCAGGGTAAGTTGTCACCCCAAAGACCCCCAAAAAGCAGAGATGTAATAATTACAACATAACAGATAATTTGAGTTTTCTGCTTGTTAACTTTTATAAGTCAGGATAATTTGAAGTAAAAGATGTTACAGGCTATAGGAAGTATAATACCGTGCTCATATTCATCATGGAAATACATTTAAGACAATCTGCTGAAGTGTGATGTTTTGGTTTTTAACTACTAAAACAGATTAGTACAGCATTCTCATCTGCCATGCTTATTTACTGAATAGTCTGTTTTAATTCACTTGCTTCACATCACTGCCATTCCCTTCCCCTTCTAGCAGTAAATCTGGAAAATCTATGATCTTGATGAGAAAAGCACCCGTCAGTGACTTTCCTCTGTTCCACTCTGTACCAGAATTACCCAGTACAGATTAGAGGCTGTATCTATGCAGCCTAGATATTTTTTGTGCCATTTATCCTGGCTAAATACCTTATCGCAAAAATCCTTCATTTTGTATGGTGAAATCTATGATGTTAGACACCTGTGTGTTCACTGAAAGGCAATCAACTTGACTGGAAAATAAGTCGTTTTCAGAGCATTACCCTGTTTCTGACTCTTTATGCTCTCATTTCCATTCTGAATGTGTCTTAGATACCACCGTTATTAAATTAAATGACTAAGAGACCTTTTTTGCATGTAGCATTTCAGTAACCCATCTGTGTAGCCAATCCAAGTTCACGAGCAGTCGACGTAATACCCAGTTAAACCTGTACCTGAGCCCTAATCCCATGCAATAATCCTAAACTCTTTTAATATGGTGTTTTTAAAAGTGAGTAATTGTTTTGAAGAGAAGAGAGTACAAGTATAGTAGCAGAATAACCTACATTTCCACCTGTCTTCTTCCAAAATTTATAAACGAGCCTGGATTTTAATGTTCATTCCACAATAAACTTACTAGAGCTTTGCTCTTAACAGAAACCCTTAAAATGTCTATCTGTGGTAGGGTAAGTACAAACTGACTCAAGTGTTTTTCCAGTTTTCCTTTTAATAAGATTTAGACGTAGTATTAAGGTTAGTAACCATGCATACACCCTCTTCAGTGGTAACAATAGAGTCTCTGTAGCTTTGAACATGACTGAGACACAACCCAGTCTTGATGAGGTGTACTGTAGAGGTCATCCCACACATGCATACGATGCTGAAGGTTACAGAGCAAACCTTGTAGAAGGTTTGACTCCTGAAGAACACCAGGGGCACCCAGGACAGTCCCAGTCAGTTCCCAGGCTGGACATTGCAAAGGAGGCAGCTCAGTCCTGATGCCCATTGATTCTGAGGTCCTGGGTTCCTAGCATGGGCTCTCTGCTCTTGGATGACAGAGTTCCCCTGTCTTCCAGTGTTGGGTTCTACCCTCCCTATGCTTGACTGGGACTTCTTTCTTTCTTTGAAAGCTTTGTATTATGAAGATGGCCAAACATATAAAAGAGGGATGAATATAATGAATCTTTTTACAACGTTTCAAAATTCATCAACATTTTTCTAATCTGGTTTCATCTACCTCATCTGCTATTTGCTAGGGGAGATTGGGGGGGGGGCACAAAAAATTCCAGTGTAGCATCTGGAGTTTCTTAAAAGCATATCCCAGACACTATATCCCTTCATTCATGAATGCTTTGGTGACAGATAAGAGTAGTATCATTATCATACTCCACAAAATTTACCATAATTTCTTTATACAAGTTATTACCCACTCCATGTCCACTTTCTGTTAGAGCTTCTGAACAACAATGGTTACTTCTTCCTTCCCCACTTCTAAGGGAAATGCAAATAAAAAGAAAAATGCCCAAAAGAAACAGGAGCCCAAACCCAGATTCATACCCCAACTGGGTAGGCAGCCCTTGATTGATCAGCTGTCCTGATGGTGGTGTAGTTGAAATGAAGTGAATACACTGTCGTCATGAGCAACCAGCTGGGCTAAGTGTCTGTGTCACGTAAGAGTCCCTCTTCTTCCTCTTCTAGGATACAGGTTAGCCATGTACTCAACGACACCCATATGAAGTTCTCTCTTCCATCAAGCCGAAAAGAAATGAAGGATGTGTGTATCCAGTTTGATGACAGGGCCTGCTCTTCTGCAGGAGCCTTATCCTACATTGCTCTGCCACAGTGTTCCCTCACTGTTCCTGGGACCACCTGGATCAGGTACCTTCTAGAATCATCTTGTGTTTCCTTCCTTGTGGTTAAGCGTCATATGCATGAAGATCCTGGGTTTCATGTAAATCAATTCAGACATGGTAGCCATACCTAAATTCCTCATGTAGAGCTTAGGATTTATTCCTAGAAAAATGCATACCTGACAAGCTGGTCTTTCCCGTTGTCACATGAGCACCGGAGCACATCCTGTTTTTCTCTTAGCCATGGCTGCCAGGAAACTCACAGCTGAAATGTTTGTTCAACCACAGATAACTATTCTTAGCCCAGGTTTCTGCTACAGATCTATGACCTTTTTCCTGATGCATCACTCTTACTCATGATAAAAGGCTCCTGTCTCATATCTGTCATTTTATAAAAGCTTTTAGAATCAGCTGTTTTGAATGCTTTAGGAGGAATATTGGGAGCTATGGGGAGGAAAAGCAGTATCTACATTTCAAAAATACCCTAAAGTGAGAGATGGAAATTCCAAAATAACCTCTGCAAGATGAATCCAATATATAGGGGAAAAGGGTCTCCCCACCCCAGCCCCAATCAAATTTAAATTCACGTTCAGATTTGGGAATATTACCCTAAAGAGATTTTCTTCATTTAACACAGCATGAAGTTAATTTTCAAAGTACTATCTAGATAAAACTATGAACAAAGTTTTGGAGGGAAAAAAAAGAAAATAAAAAAGAGCTCACCTCTGAAATTCTTATTTTAGGTTAAGCGAGAGGTGGCTGGGTTAGTTTGCTAGGGCTGATACAACAAACACCACAGGCTACATGGCTTAGGCAACAGAAATCTTTTTCCTCCTAGTTCTGGAGGCAGAACCGAAGTCTGAAGTCAGGGTGTTGGTCTCTTCTGAGACCTCTTCCCTTGGCTTGTAGACGGTCATCTTTTCCCTATGCCTTTACATGGCCTTCCTTCCACCTGTCTCCGTCTCCTGATTTTCTCTTTTTTGTAAGGACAGCAGACATGCTGGATTTGGGCCCACCCCAGGACTTCATTTAGCCTTAATTACATCTTTAAAGACTCAGGGGATGAGGCTCAGTTGTACAGGACCTGCCTAGAATGCCCAAGGGTCTGGGTTCAATCCCAGCACTACCGAAAAAAAAAGAAAAAGAAAAAGAAAAATTTTCTCCATATACAGCCTCATTCTTAGTGACTAGCAGTTTGGGCTTCAACATTTGCAGCCCATTAGAGTGACATAAGAAAAATTAAAATTTCCAAAGCGAGGCTTTTGCATGGCACTCCCCCACTCCAGGACTAATTCTGTCCTAGGTATAAAAGCAGACAGGCATGTGGCACTCACCATGTGCCTAGTGTGTTGATCCTGAGGACAAGCGTGACAGACCTACATGAGTTGTCCTTTAGGCAAAAAGCAAACTAAGGTATAGAGAGAGTTCAGATGACATGACCAGCTTCCCCATGGTTGGACCCAGGATGTCATACTGCTCCACCACAGTGTTCTGCTTTGCTGTGATGTAAGGCTCCTTGTTGTCCTGTCACGGAGACATGTTGAGTCTGTGTATCTTCCTTGCTCCTGTTCTTTGAGCTTTGAGCAAGAAGGGGGCACTGTAACTTGGGCTCAGCAGAACATCTTGGTTTGGTTTTCTAGTAATTGCAATAGGTTGGTGGAACTTGGGTCCTGTAGCCTTGTGACTGGGGCGTTCAGGGCCCAGTGTCTTCTCTCTGCCCTAGCCAAGAATCACAAGCTCCTTCAGGAGAACTAGGCAGTGGGTGAGGACGAGACCCTTCTTACTGCTCCCACTGTGGAGAGATGGAAAGTGAGAGCCAGATGGGACGCAGGAGACAAAGGCAAAAGTTGGAGGAACTCCCACTTCCTGGTCTTATCATCAGGGGCTCAGCCAGCTGTTGGACCTGTCATACCCAGGCTCCTGTCTTCTAGAGCAAGTGTTTGGTGACCTGTGAGACACCGGGACAGCCAGAGTATGGAGAGCTATTTATTTCATACCCAACGAACACTTTGCTTATAGCTGATAATGCACAAGAATAGGTGAAGTCAGTTGACGTGGTAATAACTGTAGCCTCCCCTCACACTGAGATTTGGTTTTCCAAATAGGAATTTGTACTTCTAATGTCATTTATAATTTTACCTTGTCCAAAATGCAACCTGTCTCCCTAAATAAAATATAATCGGAAGGTTGGACGTTTGATTTGAAAATTGTTAGATTGATTGAAGAATCCTCATATAGATTTAACAACAATCAAACAAAATTCTGTCCCGTGAAACTTTTTCAAGCTACAGCTGACAATTTGATTATATGTAGCAAAATAGTACGATAAAACTCAAATTCTTTTTTTTCTGTAAAATTTGGACATTTTCCCACAATTAAAATAGAATCTGACCTGAATTTTTATGTTTGTGTGTCTTTAAAGCCATGAATTTGTGACCAGGATCCTTGAAAGGTTTCTGAAATTGTGTTGCATTTGAAATTAATTAATTTTCTCCAACTATTACTGGGTTTAATAGTAAATGGGAATTGACAGTGTTGTTCGTAGATGTAAAACACCTGTGCATTTAACCCTCACCATGACTTTTCTCCTTGCAGCGGTGGGCAAAATATAACCGTCATGGGCAGAAATTTCGACGTGATTGATAACTTAATCATTTCACATGAATTGAAAGGAAACATAAATGTGAGTCTTCAGCTCCTTGGGAATAATAGTTATTTTCAATAATTTTGTCTTTCTCACACTAAACTGTGTTGGGTGGCTAGGTTTTGTCTCAATGACTTTGGTATTACAAGCTTTGATGTATTGCATGAGATACACTGTGCTCTAGCAGAAATAATAAGACCTCACACCCATGGTTGAATATTTCACGTTGCCACACAGAGGGAAGAGGAATGAACTTGGTATAACAAGACCTGCCATTTTCTCCTTGTGTGATTTGTGGCAAGTCACTTTAATGAGACAATGCTTATGAATATGTGTGAAAATGCTTCCTGGATGGCTGAGATGTGATGCAAAGAACAGCACTGCTATGAAGCGGAGGTGGTAGATGCAGAGAGATGAGGTGACTTACTGAAGTCCCAAAGTTCCTGTCATATGCTCCTCCTCTTGCCATTGTCTCTTGGGGCCCATTTGGTGTCTTCCACTGGCTCTCACTTTCCATCTCTCCACAGTGAGCAGTAAGAAGGGTCTCGTCCTCACCCATTGCTTAATTCTCTTGAAGGAGCTTGTGATTCTTTTGAGAGCCTGCAGGTTGAAGCTGCTGGTGCCAGGATTAAGGGGGGCAACAAGGGACTTCAGATACAGCTTGGTGCCTCCGAGTACACTGCTAAGTGCTTCCTGAATGTTCTTCCCCTTCTCTCTTCCTCTTTTTCCCTTTCCTCAATGAGAGATATGAAGGGAGCAGCCTGTCTGGGTCCCACCTGACCACTTCCTACTAAGGCTGGCAAATTTAAGGGTGACCTCAGACTTTGTCCCACTTGAGAACAGTGTGGGTTCAGGCCTAGATGCAGGAGGCCTCCAGATCTGTCATCCTTACAGTCTGTCAAACACACATCCACCACTGACACACTTCAGAGCCAGTTCTCAGCCTCACACTGTCTGATTCCAGGCCATGTCTCCATGATACAAACACATCCAGTTATGTAATTAACCCTCTGACTGGAGGCATGGCCTCAACGCATCAGTGGACTTGCTTTCTTCCCAAATACTGTTCTCAAATCAAGTACAGGTGATTGAACACCTAGTGTGGGCAAAATATTTTGCTCTGTGCAAAGACAAAAGATAAGTGAGATAACTGCACTGCCCTGGTGGGAGGGAGATGACATGTCTACACTGGAATTGAAAGTTGGAAGCACAGAGTGACATCAAGTACTGGATCCTCTGGTCCTTTCCAGCTCAGAAGCCCCATGAATCCAAGAAGGTACTATGTGTTATCATGTGAAAAACAAATAACATATGAATGGAATTGAGGCTGTGCATAGAAGAGCAGGATGGGCAGGACTGGGGTGGGGGAGGAAGGTCCTTGCAGGTATACAGGACAGGTTCCTCCCTGTCCTCAGTCACTTAGTCCTGCTCAACTGGAACCTAGAGAATGGGTCAGGAAAATACAAAAAGGATGGGAGAAAACTACATTGGGGCCATGCAAGAGAGTGTCCTATTGAAAACTTTGCCTTTAATTCTGCAATAGCTCCCCATCACCCTACAGAACTACTTCTGTAAAGGTCTTTGATCAGGGAATGCCATGAGTATGGATATTGTTTGGGCAGTGGTGTTTGGAGAGGCAGTGACTGGACAAAGGGAGGGGGGCAATGAGGATGCTCATGCCAATATCCAGGTGTGGCTGAGATGTCAACAGACCCCAGTCAAGCTCTCCATCAGGTTGTTATCAGCAGGACAGGTCCAGAAGTGGTAAAGCAGAGATGAACAGGTTCACTTTGTAGCATCTTGTTAAAGGGAGGGTGGGGACAGGCTCATGGAAGTGACAAGAGCCTAAGGATGAGGTAAAGAGCATCTAGGATAGAATCTGGTAGGACAGCTTCACCCTTAGGAGTGAAAGAAAACAGGATGGTCCGGGAAGGTGGCTGAGAAGTTGCTTGAACATCAGAGAAAAGAAGCATTTGGAATTGTGGGAGTTGGTACCTAACATGGGGATGTGGGGTCTTGGGGTAAGGAGTTGGGATCACCCTGTTTCTGGTTATCTTTCTGAAGGCAGTAAAAAGCCAACCTGCTTGGAGTTATAGCTGCTGAGGAGGCATAGGCAGTAGCGATGGTGGTTTTCATCCAATCACAAAAAGGCAAAAGCAAGATACAGGGCTGGAGTTTGGAAGAGTACTCAGGTGTGAGGGAGGGTGGACTTGTCCAAATGTCACCCGTCTGTATCAGGTTTTCCCACCTGTGTCCCTTCCTTCCCTCTTTCTTATACTCTGGTATGAGAGAAAACAAAAAGAAGGAACAGTTCTTCCACCTGAAAAATTTCTTTTCATGAGTTTTAATTGCTATTCTTTCTTTTATTCTCCCTGCAGTTTGGGGATCAAATTCAGGTCTCGTGCATGCTAGGCAAGTGCTCTACTACTAAGCAACACTGCCAGCCCACTCTTCTTTAAACACTGTCAATCAGCCTCTACTTACTCAGAAGCTTTCTCTGTGTCTGGCTGTACCTGAAAACGACAATATATTTATGGTTTGGTTTTTTTTTTTTTGGTCAATAAACCTATACGTTGGGCCATGTTTTTTGCATTGTTTCCCATTTCCATGCTCTTCATTTGATGGAGGACTTACTGGCCCTCTGACTTTTGTTTTCTCCTATGTTCTGTTCCACCTGAAAAGCCTTTTCCTTGTTGTGGTTCGGGACTTCTGCTAACGCTGTGCAGGAGGTTCCCCAACACAGAGTGACTCAGCTCAGCAGCCGCAAGCAGGTCAGGAGCTGCAGGGCTCTTTTGTCCCTTCCTGAAGTCTCCTGGGAGTCCACTGGGCTGACTTAGGGGACACGTAAGCCCTAGGGGTCAATGTCTTCCCCTTTCTCTAGCCTGCTGCTCTCTGCATAGCCTTTTTTCCCATTGCCTAAACTTTTAACAGCTTTCATTTTTACTAATAATATTAATAACAAGATAAACACATCAGGGCACATGTGGAATCTTGCTTATTGTCCACCAGACAATGTTCTTAGCACTTTTACAGGTATAATCTCATTCAGTGTGGCCCTCATTTAGTTAAATGAGCCTTTATCTCATTTAATTTAATTTAGAGTTAATTTAATCCTGTGAGGTTGGTAGTGTTGCTACCCTATTTTACAGATGGGAAAACAGAACTACCAAGCAGCTTAGTTGTCTGGGCTGTTTAGCTCTTAGAGACCAGAACTGAAATCCTTCAGTTATTAAAATGCTCTGTTCTTCTCTCACAGGTCTCTGTATATTGTATGGCAACTTTCTGTGGGTTTTTAGCCCCCAATTTAAAGAGTCCGAAGGTACGCACGAATGTTGCTGTGAAGCTAAAAGTACAAGATACCTACTTGGATTGTGGAACCCTGAAGTATCTTGAGGACCCCAGATTTACCGGGTATCGAGTAGAACCCGAGGGTGACACCGAATTGGAAGTGAAAATTCAAGTATGTTAGCTTTTTTTCTGGGTAGGATGTTCCCCACCCCTGGGCTGGAAAGGTGTTCTTATGCACATGTGCCCTGATTTGTTCTTCTTCATTTTATTCTTCACAGAAAGAAAATGACAACTTCAACATTTCTAAGAAAGACATTGAAATTACTCTCTTCCATGGAGAAAATAAGCAATTAAATTGCAGTTTTGAAAATATTACTAGAAACCAAGATCTCACCACCATCCTTTGCAAAATTAAAGGCATCAAGAATGCAAACAGCATTGCAGCCTCTTCCAAGAAAGTTCGAGTAAGTCATCTGGGAGTCCCATCTGCTATCTTTACCTGAATTTTGCTAGTTCCCAGCTCACCCTGAGACCAGAATGGAACCTTTCGTGGATCTTTAGCTCTTCACTTTAAATAGAAGATAAACAAAGCTGGTACTGCAAGCCGAAGCACAATTCTTCCAAAATAGCAGCGGAATCCATCCATGTGCCTGTTTGAATGTCAAAGCGTTGAACACACCATTGTCTATACGCCTAATGAGTCTTGATAGCTTTTGTTCTAGACATACATTTAGACTGTAGCATCTGCAAAGCAGCATCCAGACCCATTAATGATGGAGCTGTCATTCTTTTTCCCAAATAGAAAGGTGACATATCTTAGCAGAGACCCAAAACAGAGGTCTCTTTGGCACAACCAGGGTAGCACTTTAGTCTTATGGAGACCAAATAATCAATGGGTCACAGCTGCTTTCTTCACTATGAAGTCACCCTTTCTGCAATTCATCTTTTCCCAGACATGTTTGGCAGACCCATCACTGGTGTATTTATATCCCACAATAAACATGTGAGACCCGCCCACCAGAAGGAAAACATATTAGGACTCACCCTTACTAGTGTTTGTGGTGTATGAGACTCTGCACAGTCCATATAAAAAATGTTTTGTGGGCCTGCAGTGTAGCTCAGTGGTAGAGCACTTGCCTAGCATTCATAGGGCCCAAGGTTCATTTCTCAGCACCACAAAAAAAAAAAAGCTTGTATGATTGATAGTCATTAATAATTGGATAAAAAAAACAGCAAGAAAAAAGAGCATATCAGATTGGAAGGGAAAACACGTATGTATTCATGTCCCAACTGCATTGGTTAATAGGTGTGTGGCCTTAAGTAAGTTACTTGACTTCCTTGAGTCTCCTTTTGTTCACCTGTATGGTAAAAGAGGTAATAATAATAACTGTAATAATATAATGAAATCAAAAATAGCAACTGGACACGCCAGTGTTCCACCTTTCATGCTAGCGCTCTTCATCATTCACTACATAGTCCTGAGCACCTCTGCTAGGCTAGGACACAGCACAGAAGAAAACAAGCACAAATATCTGTCTGCATGCAGCTTACCTAAGAAAATAAGAGAACAAGATGATAGATGGGCCAATCTTTTGAGAGGAAAATGAAGCAGGTGGTTTGGGGGGGGGTGATGCATTAGGTGGGTCCACCAACCCTTCACATCCCATTTCAGAGATGGGGGAATGAGGATGGAATGGTGAGCTAAGTCAAAATCCTGCACTGGTGAGGAGCACAGGCAGCAGTATAGGGTGAGAGCCTGGGCTGCCTGGGTCCACCATCTGCCCCAGCCACGTTGCTGCATTCCTCCCTGGGCAGCCGTGGTTCCAAGATGCATACACGCCTGAATGATTGTATGCACATCAATGGGAAAAGAAGGCCAGCTGTACAGTTTTTCCCTTTTCAAGTTTTATGAAATTTCTAGTAGCAAAAAAAAAAAATGTGAAGAGGATGAAATAAGCATAATGCAATCCACCAAATACTGTTTGAAAAAGGAGGGGAGCTAGAGGGGTTATAATAGAGGGGTGAACTTGTTCAAAGTACACTGTGCACCTCTATGGCATTATCTCAATGAAACTTTGGAGTACTTATTAATGTATGCTAATAAGAAATAGGTTTAAAAAAATGCTAAAACTGGAAAAGACCCTTGAGATTATCTGGTGAGCATTGCCAAACTGGCCTTCACCTCTGAATGCTTTGCTCAGGACAGCAAAGCACAAGCTATAGAAGAGCTAAAAGTCTAATTGCCCCCATAGAATAAAAGGAAGAAGACTTCTATCTCTTTATTGGCCCACTCCTGTAATTTAAAACCTCAGGACAACGAGAGCCAACATTTTCAATGTCCAGGTCCAGTCCAGCACACCTCAACAGACATCAAGAAACTAAGGCACAATGACTCCTCTTCCTCTGCCCAAGGATACAGAGCTCATCTGCTCCAGAGATGGGATTTGAACTCAGGTGTCCTACCTAGCCCATCACTTCTTTTTCTATTGTTGGAGGAAACCCTTTAGGAGTACTTTACAACATAAATCTGATACTCAGCACCACTGGGTCTAATGGTGCCTTTGTCCCATCAGGTCAAACTGGGAAACTTGGAGCTCTATGTTGAGCAGGAATCGGTTCCTTCTACTTGGTATTTTCTGATTGTGCTTCCTGTCTTGCTAGCGGTTGTCATTTTTGGTAAGTGCCCTGTTTAATTTGGTCCGAGAAATTATTCCCTGGAGCCTCTCCTTAGGCAGGCAGCTTTCGGGGCCATTTGCTTCCATTAAGTATTAATGGGTTAAAACCCAGGTCATAACTTTGGGAAAGGAATAATAGCTGCATGTTGAGGACTTTCTGAAGATTTTTTAGGATGTCTCATCAATAAAAGGTCAGATTACAAAGAAGATGTGTTGGCATTTTAGAAATGTCATCCACTGCTCCCTAGTTCTTTGAATAGTGGTGAATTATCCATCACCTTCTACCCTAGAATCCTTCTAGGATTGGAACTTGAATTCTTCTAGGATTCAAGTCCTACATTTGGTCACCTCATCCTTCCTCCTAACCCCACTGAACTCCACTTCCCACTCCTTCCTGGCCCTGCATTTCTTGGCAGAACTGGACTTTGGTAGTGTGGACATCAGTGGGTGTTGTTGATCCCCACAGCACTTTTTTAAACTTTGAAGAGATTGACAACACTTAAAAATTAAGTAGCTCATGGTTTAATTTTTTTTTCAGAAAGTTTGAAAGACCTGAATTATTGCAGCCCAGTCTTTCCATAGTGTTCATTTACTAGATAGAGCTTTGTAACAGCTATCCCCTTGAGAGAGGACCTGTGCTCCTCTGGGTTTTTACCAAACTCTCTACCACTCCCTGTTGTCTCCATCTAGACTTCTCAACCCCCCTGTGTATCTATGAAGCCATCTAGTTTGTGACCTCTGGTTCTGAGCTGCTTTTTATTCTATTTCCTCTCCTCCTTTGACAAAGAGCTCTTCTTCACCAACTAATGGAGCCCTTTTACTTGTTGAGTTAATACATTCTAACATTCTAGGCTAACAGAGGCAGGTGCCAGTGTCTCCTTCCATCTCCTTGCTCTCTCCCTCCCGCACATTCATTCATTCATCTCTGTCCATTTACCTCATTTTTATTGAGCATCCATCATGGTGCTGATGACTGGGAAAATCTCTGGATGAGAGATAACTTAAGGTCTGGTTCTTTCTGTGGGGTAATTCCCAATCCAGTAAGGGAAAGATTTGTATGAGTGAATAACTGACCCTATGAAGTATAGTCACTTTTCCAGGATCCTCTTTTGCCCTGTTGGTGATTACTTAGGTACTTTTTATGTTCTCCCTAAGTTGCTGCCCTCCCCTCCCACCCTCTTGTATTTGGGATCTAAAAATTGGGCTTGATAGTTTCATAAAGTCCTGCCTGAATTTGGCTTCATCTAAGAAAGTTCTATATAAAGTACAAATGTTGGGCCCTGTTTCGAGAATCCACTGTGAAGTGTAATCTGTGTCACAAACCACAGCTTCACCTCTTTATAACTGACTAGAAAGCTCTGGTCTTTTCCTGACTGATGTATGGCTCTCCCTTCACTTTGTTTGGTAGCTTGTTACTTTACCTTAAGTAAACTGGGCTAAATGTGACACATTGCTTTGTTTGTATCTGCAGAGCTCTTTAAAAATTCTCATCCCCTTCTTACACATTCCAGAAGGCATGTGTCATCAGTAGGTTAAATATATGCTTTAGTCCATCGATCAGGGAAAACACTACCCACACCTGGCCTAAGCCTGCTACCTTCTGCCAGGAAAAGCTTTTGCTGTGTAGACGGGGCCTGCCAGCTCCCTGTA